TGTTTGATTAACGGTTTAACTCTGAGCAGCATCCAATTATTGGTGCGGCACAGCAGTGTTGCTAGGATGAAATGTCAAAGTCCTGAGGGGGTGGGAGAGAATGGGCAGCTCCCACACGAGCTCCCCTTGCTTTCAGGAAAAGGCCAACTCCCAAGAGCCTCCGTGGCAGTGGGTGGCGGGGACAGTGTGGGCAGCCCCAGACTGACAACAAATACCACCGAGACAAATTCCAGCGTGCAACTTTCCCACTGCGATTTCCCATTCCCTCACCCGAGTCCTGGCAGCAGGACAGCAGCTCTAAGGAACGGGATCTTACTGCAGCATGAGTGCAGATTTGCAGAGAACGATTGCTAGGAAAAATCCAAAAGCCTTATCTGTCCCTCCCAGGCACCTGTCTGGCCCTGTTTATTTGTGCACCTCCCAACCTTTACTCCATTTTATCCTCACTATCTCACGGAAAACGAGGCAGCGCTGCACCCATTGACATCATACAGGAGCTTGGGAGACTCGAAGCAGAGTTTTAAACGTCCCTGGTTGACACCCTGATCCTCTCTCCCTGGTCTCAGAAGCAAGGGACCACTTCAGATGTTGTTCGCTGTGTTACGCTGAAGTCAAGGAGAAGGTAGCGTAGGTTTGCACCTTACAGACCAACCAAAGTGCATGTATATATATATTATATGCACACACACATGTATATATGTGCACATATACACACATATATGTATGCACGTGTGTGTACATGTACATATGCACGCGCATGTATGTATGTGTACATATACACATATTGTTATAGACCCGTGTTTTAGTTGGTCTATAACAGGGACGTCAAACTGAGCACACCTGCAGGGCCAGATGAGGGGTGCGGAGCTGATCCACAGGCCAGATCAGGCCCACAGACCCCTTTGCCTGTATGCTTGATCCAGGGCACACGGTACCTGCCTGGGGCCGGGCTGGGACACTGGCCCATGGGAGCGCTGTGGGAGGCACAGCCTGAGACCTGGCCTCAGAGAACACGGTGGGAGGCACCAATGCTGAGCACGGCGCAGGGCTGGTCTGAAGCAGCATTTTGGTCAATGGGGCAGCGCTGGGGCTGGATGCAGCCCGCAAGCTGTATATTTGACACCCTTGGTCTATGAGGTGCAAACCTACCCTACCTTCTATAGACAGACAGACAGACAGACATAGTGCGTGTGTGTGCATGTAAAAAATCTACTTCGGATAGTCTATAAAGTACAAATCTACCCTGCCTTCCACTTCAGGAGAGGCCTCAGTGAAGGATCAGAGATGTGACTCAGTCCATCCAGCATCCAGCACAGCAGGCGAAGGCAGCTTTCATCCTTATTCATAGGCTCTAAGGCCAGAGGGCGTCTCTGTGACCATACAGAGCGTACCGCTTGACCTCATGTACACTCAGGTCACGGAGGCTCTCCCCAAAAGATGGATTAAAGCATGTCTTTCAAACTCTCCTCTACAAGACTCGAAGCAATGGCAAGTGCACAACCTCTCCTGGTAAGTTGTTCTGATGCTTAATTATCCTCACTGCAAGGGGACTGTGCCTTATTTCAAGGCTGCGTTTGTCTAGCTTCTACTTCCAGGCACAGGGTCTTACAATAACATTGTGTGAAGGGCCCTTCACTCATGAGCAGATCTTTCTTCTGTATGAAAGCACCTGCACTCAGGGACCAAGTCCCCTCTTAACCTTTGGTTTGATATGCTGAATGGGCTGGAGTTGCTCAGGCCAGGAGTAATTTTTGTGACCCCCAACTGAACTCCCTCCAGTAGCCCCTCTTCTTCTCAAGGTGCAGACCCCAGAACTGGACCCCCAACTTCTTATCCCAGTCCCATCAATGCTGCGTGCAGTGACAAAATTGTTAATATATCCTCTGGAAAAAAAAAAGATTTCATAGTTAATGTAGTGGTAAGGCATTGGCAGCACCCCATCTCACCAGCTCCAGCCTGCGGCATGTTATAGCATGTTCTTGGTGCTTTGGACATTGCTCCCTGGAGCTACGGGTGAGGGCTCAATGTGGCTGGACTCCAAGGCCCAGATGCTCCTTGCAGTCCTATATTGCATTTCCCTATTTCTACTGGATACTTTCATAGTTTCATAGTTTCTAGGGTCGGACGGGACCTAGGCAGATCATCTAGTCCGACCCCCTGCCATGGCAGGAAAGAGTACTGGGGTCAAACGAACCCAGCAAGATGGGCATCT